TCTCTCTCTCTCTCTCTCTATGGAGGTGTGTGTGTGTGTGTGTGTGTGTGTGTGTGTGTGTGTGTGTGTGTGTCAAATAATATGTCACTGCCCAAATGGTTTGAGTGTCTTTAGGGGCCACAGTAACAAGACAATATAATCATAGTACCACACTTGTACCAAGCAATTCTAAATTTGTTAGTCTGTACATCTGGTTTCACTTTTTGTATTTTTGTTCTTATAGGACCCATGAGACCTCCAGAAAAATAACAGATTGCTGACCCAGAGGTTATTGTTGATCATGCTACAGACTTTACCTTTCCTTTGGTTTCTGTGTTTATTGGCGTCAGCCAGTTATTTTGGACTGTCCTCGAAATTACATACACTCGAGTTAGTATGTTTTCTTCTGATCTTCCACTTATAGTTTTGACTTAACAACCCAGAAAAGTTAATTACATGTTAAATATAATTTTCTTGTACGTTTTATGGCAGGAGGGGTTTCTCCTATCTCTCAAGATGATTGCATTGTTAGGCTTTGCAAGAAATTGTAATAAGCCCTTATAGAATTTAGAAAAAAATAATGCACAGTGAAAAGTTTAAAACTTAAAGGACACCTTTTTACAATATTTCTTAGCACCTGTTCTCAGTATTTTGATTGCACAATTCTCCAAAGCATGTTTCCTTCAAGCTTTTAATTTGTCACTCCTAGTTAAGGTTTTCTGTAAAACTGACACGTAAAATAAAAGAGAATCAAATATACTGTAATATTGTGTATTCAAATCACCAAATGCTCAAGCAAATCATATTATTTCATCTCACCAAAGTCTGCCATCGCATGCGAAAATCCATTGACAGGCCAACGGAAATCAAGGCAGCTGTTATGGAAATTAGGAACCTTCAAACAACTGCTACACACAGAGTAGCAACACATATTGACAGAGCTTATACATTTTTCAGACATATATTCTTTTTATTTCTAGAGCTCAGGTAAAGACCTTCTCGACCTCTTTTGTTTCATTAGTACTGCCTGAGGCGTGCCACTCTAAAATCGGACTTGCCTATATTCTCTAAGAGAGAACTCTGCTACCTGTACTCTGACTTCCTCACACATTCCAAAACCGTGGACGTTAAACATTCATAATTAAAATAAAAAAAACTTACAAATATTCTGTATTTAAATATATCTTATTGATTAGATTTTTTCCTCTTCTTTTCTCTTATCTATCTATCTATCTATCTATCTATCTATCTATCTATCTATCCACCCGCCCGCCTGCCTGTCTGTTTTTCCGTCTCTCTATATAATGTTATTTATGTTATTTTATCTTGAGGGATTATGCAGACTGAAAATATGTGTTTTAAAACGGCACTTAAAATTGTGGAGAAAGTCGGAGTGATTGCTGAAGTGAATTCATCAGATCAACTCCAAGGCTCAAGGCGCTGGACCCAAGAGGATTTGCGGGTTGATATTACAATGCGGAGCATCCATCCATCCATCCATCCATTTTCTGATCCGCTTTATCCTCAAAAGGGTCGCGGGGTATGCTTGAGCCTATCCCGGCTGTCTTCGGGCAGTAAGCGGGGGACACCCTGAACCGGTTGCCAGCCAACCACAGGGCACACAGGGACGAACAATGATCCGCGCTCACATTCACACATCGGGACAATTTTGAGTGTTCAATCAGCTGCCGTGCATGTCTTTGGAATGTGGGAGGAAACCGGAGTACTCGGAGAAAACCCACGCAGGCCCGGGGAGAACATGAAAACTCCACACAGGAAGGGCGGAGCTGGAATCGAACTCGGTACCTCTGCACTGTGAGGTCGACGCGCTAACCTATCCGCCCCCCAATGCAGAGCATCGAGCAAGAAATGCGGTGAGTATGGGATGCAGAATAGAAAGGGCAGAGTTAAGACTTGGGAAAGTGGCGCCAGGTTGCGGACAATCGGCCCGGTGAATATATCTTGGGAAATCTAGTTGACAATTTCTTTTTAAAAATGCTGTACGTACAAATTACAATACACACAGCAGTGTCTGTGAAATACCGCCGTCTTCTGGCCATGAATCGTTACTACATCAACAACGAACGACTGTTGAAGGGCAACCTTGAACCCCGCCTGCGGCTTCTCATTGGTGGAATTTACGAGTTTCGCAATCTCATTGGCTATTTTGGCGTCAATGGCATGACGAATGCGGAAATATGAAGAAGAAAACCAGCAGCGGTGAGAAGCGTGGTACATGTGTCTTATTTGACTTTGTTTCGTTGTTTGTATAGAATAGGTAATTTCATTTATGTTTACGCCGGACTCGGTTGCTTCTGCCATAATTTATAGCCTTTGTTAGCTCTTGATGAAGGAATGAGGAGTAAACGTTAGCTACCTTTTGCTAATACAATACAGTACAATACAATACATCTTTATTTATGTAGCGCTTTCAAAATAGCTATAGCTGTAACAAAGCGCTTTACAAAACAGTTAACATAAAATACAAAATACGGTAATATAGCACAAAATAAGACATGGACAGTAATGCAATCATATCCATATTCCAGCATACGCCTAATGCCTCCCCGTGCCACAGCTAATAATATAGATGTACTGTAATACTGATGTTTTAAAAATTATCCATAGTTGTTTATATAGCAACTTCATTGCTGAAGTAGATGTGTCATACAGTCAATGTTAACAGCCGTGACTAAATCATTTTCTACTCTACCTTATCATTGAACGAGTTCAACAATGGGTTTCAAATTCATTCATTAAATATTTTACGGAAAAAAATGTTTTAAATTGAAAGTATTTCGGATGCTGTGCACTTCTGTGGAATGTACCGTTCTCCGTGTTGTATATTATTAAGCCACAAGACGGCGCACATGGACCATGGGCGTAAATGCAGCTTCTTCACAGTATGAAGACGTGAGAAAAATCGATCCCCAGAGATGGAAAAATAAACATTATGGGCGTCCGCAAGCAAAGTCTTGAATATAAGCGAAAATGAAATGACAATCCTGTGGGAATTATGACAAGACGAGGACGAGATATTTCACTTTTCTGTGTTGTTTGTTTACAGGCTTGTATGTTTTTTTTGTTGTTTTTTTTTTTACCTGAGACTGTCCCTGCCCCCATAGATTTCTTGCATGGTACACGGGCGTGATGGTGGATGTCTTCTAAACTAAATTCTATTTTAATAAATACACATTGTACGTTTTCTTGAATAGTAACTATATTTGAGGGGTTGTTTCAACAGAATGTATTTCATCGCCAGCATGCGTGAAATAAACAAATGCAATGTGAAGAAAACTTTGATGAAAACTGAGTGCATAGAAGAAATCTGATTAACGTTCTGTTTATTAATAATACAATTTGTAAACTGTCAAGAGACTTTGTGGACACCTGCATTGCCTGATAATACTGCTTCACATAATGCTCATGCTTAATTTGACTTTAATTGCATTCAATTGTGTGACCAATTTGACTTAGTATTAAGTCTTAAATATTAGATACCCATTCTAAAGACTTGTGGGAACATTTCTTCAACATGTCTCTGTGATCATACATGAGGGTCCATGTTTTCTCTGTTAGACATTTATGTCTTCCATGCAATAACTCAGGAAAATGAATCAGATTTTGCCTTATCTTTTTGTTCTTACTTTTTAGTGTGTATTTTAGAGAAATGGCTGCCTCTGGAAAAATTGCATCTTTCCGCTTGCCTCCCTTGCCCACTGTCGGCGAGCTCATAAAGCTGTATAGCTTGAGAGCAGAGAAACAGCTTTCTCAAAACTTTCTTTTGGACTTGAGGCTCACAGGTTGGTCATACTTCCACACACACTACACTCTTCTGACTCTCTCTGCAATGCACCAATACCTGCTACTTCCTATTCCTCATTATTTTGTCTACACCAGTGCACTTGACTGCGCAGCTCCACACAGCCGTGTTTCCAGAATTAAAGCAGACAGGCTTTCCTGTTTGGGTCATGTTGAGGAGATCTCCTGCTAAACTGAATAAAGCTAGTCATCAGCCCTTGTGGAGCTTAATATAATTAAATGTAATGCACTGCAAGTCTGATGCACCCTTCTGTGATTGGACAAGGTGACCGTTAGATTAATGCATATCATCTTTATATATCGCTACATCACATTCTATTCATCTAAATTTGGATATGCAATACTGATAAAGCTTTTTGATGGGAACCTGTTGTGTAATTTACATGATGTATGACTTCTATTATGCAAAAAAGAATGTTATTAACTAATCACATGGAGAGCGGCATTAATTTGATCATCCATCTCCCATCTTTTCAGACAAACTAGTGCGGCAGGCAGGAAATTTGAATAATGCCCATGTGTGTGAAGTTGGTCCGGGTCCTGGGGGCTTGACCCGGTCCATTCTGAATGCCGGGGCAACGGACCTGCTTGTGGTGGAGAAGGATTCACGCTTCATCCCTGGATTAAAGGTAAATGAGACTCTCCACTCAAGATGGGTAAATGTCATTGCACCAGCATGTCATTGGTTTATTGTAGAGAGAAAGTTTACACACGTGCTTCTATCCTTTTTAACATTTTTTAATTCATCTATTTTCTTCTGCTGCATCATTACCACCCGGAGGGAGACTGATGAGGCTGCATCGTTTCAGTGAACGCTCCGTCATATTTGTAATTGGATGTTGTTGCATCTCTGTTTCCGCAGCTGTTGTCTGAAGCTGCACCAGGCAGGTTGAGGATTGTCCATGGTGACATTCTTACCTACAGAATGGACAGAGGGTTCCCAGGAAGCATTTGTCAGCCGTGGGAGGAGGGTGAGATTATTTTACTAATGCCACACTGTATTCCAGTGATTACTGCTCATTTTGACTTGTTGTGCCTCAAAGCTATAGAACTCTCTCCATGTATACTACAATGATAATACAGTACATTGAAGCGCACATACAATAACGCTGTGACAAGTGTTTGTAGATTCTCAGCCATTCAGCTCATGAGGCAACTGGACAGATACATCTGCGGTTGTTTAAGACATTTCACCTTTAGTCCAAACTACTTCTCTACTTCGAAATCTTAGGTGCGAGTAACCTCCTCGATTTATATTTTGGGAACTGTGATAGAAGAAACAGAATTTCTCTCTGTCCTTGAAATTCTGCCGCCAACCCTACTACAAATGAAATTACAACCTGCCCATGCTGTTAATTTATTTTGCCTGAAAGACATGTCTCTGTCAGTTCTAAACTCAGTTCAATCGAGAACTAATGAGTGAACCTAGTATAATTTGTGTGATAAAAGAAAAAAAAAAAGGTTGAAATTGATGAAAAGGGATAGCCCGCCGGCCATTTTCCCCCTGTGGTTTTGTGGGCTATCCTCGGGTACTTCAGCTTGCTCCCACATTTTAAAAACATCTGTGTTAGGTTATTTAGAGAGTCCAGCTTTGTTATGTGCCCTGCAATTGACTGGCGACCAGTTGCCATCCACCTCAGTCATTTAGGTTAGGCGCCAACTCATCCTTGACCCTTAAAAGGGTAAGCAGTTGAATGCGGATGGATGGAATTAGGGTCACATACGGATATGAGTATAAATTAATTTGAACGATTGAACTTGATGACGCTTTTTTTGGAAATACAAAGAATCCATTCCAGAATAAAACGATCTCCACCCTGAAACCTTTATTCACTGTATGGTCAATGAACTAAAAAACATTTAAACATTCTAAACTGTAAGAGTGTAAAAAGAATGTCACCACTGTGGTCATAAGCATGAAACAGTCAATGTGTAGTCATTCTTTGCTGAAGTGCAACAAAAACGGTCAATCGCAAAGAAGATATCGTGGGAGGTTGCAGGTCACCTTGCTAAGCACAGATCATTTCTATTCCGTACAATTATCCCTTTTCTACAGTGATTGTCCACATTAAGAGTCAAGAGGGTGAGCTGGAGTCTAACTCTGGTGAAGTTGGGCGAGAGGCCGAGTACATTTTTTGCCACACTCTAAATTGTATGTTCAACTTCAGAGGCTCCACTGTATTTGAATTTGTTTTGCTAGCCAATGAGATGATACCTGCTAATGTAAGCCCTGATGTGCATGTGTTTCACAGATCCACCAAACCTTCACATCATAGGCAATTTACCCTTCAGTGTTTCCACGCCGCTGATCATCAGCTGGCTGGAAAACATAGCCAACAGGACCGGGCCTTTTGCTTATGGACGCACCCAACTCACGCTCACCTTTCAGAAGGAGGTTGCACAGGTGCGAGAGTTACATCTTGTCTGTCCGTTTGTCTGGAGACTGCTTTCACGTCTTGGAGAGTCCTGGTAGAAGCGTATGACTGAATGAAAAGACGAATTTGCCATGTTGAAAGTACATTTGGGCCAAACATAAATTTGAATTGGCAAATGTGTGAATGAGTAGCAACTCTATAAGGAGTGGGAATTAGTTCACAATAAATATCATAACCATAACTAAACAAGATGGGGAAAAAAAAACGACCCTGATTGCATGGCTGAGTAATCATTTATGATTTGCAGGCATGCAGTATGCTTGCTTTCCTCTATTTGCGTGGTTACTACACCAACTGCGAAGAAATGTTGAATGAGCTCATCCTGTGACGGTGTCTTGTCAAACATGCTCCTGTGTTGCGTTGTATTGTCTTCTCCAACCAGAGGTTGACAGCCAGCACAAAGAGCAAACAGAGGAGCCGTCTGTCCATCATGGCGCAGTATCTCTGCACCGTCCACCACTGTTTCACCATCCCGGGAAAGGCCTTTGTCCCCAAACCAAAGGTAGGAAGGAGTTGAATATTGGTCCGTCTTTACTTTCAGTGCAGTGTGTGAAACCAAGCGTAACCTAATTGTATATTTTGTTACTGAGGCACTCTGTTTAGTAATCTCCATGGAGTCGTTTGATTGCTGCCCCTTCAATAATCATCGTCTGATGTGTTTGCTTAAGCGTAGAAAATCCACACATGCCTCCTTAGGGGCGTGTTGCTGAAAATAGCATTTCATCTTTCACAGTACATTTGATTTCTTTATATGTTTGTTTTCCAAAAGCTCAGTGTTTATTTCAATCAGTTGCAACATTGTAGCTGAAAGGCCATCAATGCCAGATGGATTTGTTGTTCTTATTTCATGCTTGTTGCTGGTGGACAATTGTGGGACCTCGACGTTAAATCTGTGGCCTTCTTCATTTGGACCCATGTGCCCATCACAAGTCCCTTGTCATGTCACCATCACTCATCCCTCCCTCACCCTTCTTGCTTCAAGGCTTCATTAAGGCTGTGTTGAATCACTTTTGTCTCTCTTCTGTCTTTGGACCATTTCTGGGATGTAATGATGCCTGGTGGGTATTTGAGATGTGGCACCCTAGCGCTGCTCCTCGTAATGAGGCCCAAGTTCTTTTTTAGGCCCCATTTCTGCCTGTGTCTGTTAGCCTGTGTGTGGATCAGCCGAGGAAGAAAGACACAAGACGCTTACATAACACGTAAATGCAAGATGCTTTTGCTTTATTTTCAGGGTCCGGATTCATAGTAAGACTAGAGGGCGGATCAAAAATAAAAAAAACCTTGCCGGAAAGACTCATAAATTAAAACATATCGGCGCTGGTGTCTAAACAGCTGCATCGAGATATTTATTTTGAGATAATAGACAGGAAGCCTCTTTAAAGACTCGGGAGGTTCCTTACAACCTGGTACAAATGAAATCGTGTTTTTTTTTTTTTTTTAAGTTTCTGAATTAAAGGAGAGGTGTAAAGTTCATGTCAGGGATGGACTTTTGGTCCCTTGAAGATTCTGTGGTGCTTTAGGACACATTTTGCATAAATAAATCATTCCCTGTGAGGAGCAAAACGAGGCAGAGTGAATGGGACCAGGGCTGATTTCTCATTCTCTTAGAAGAGATGGCTCCGCTGATTATTTCATCACAGTCAGCTGCCACTCAGCACGTTACTTTTATTTACTCTTGTGTGTCTTACTCCTGTCTGACATCACCCTGCAAATTAATAGACATCAGCATGCTGTGCTATAAATGTACATAAAGGCACGATCCATACAAACACGATTACAGAGGGATCACACTGCACTGCGGATGATTCAGCACCTCCCACATGCCCATACAGGCCATCTTTGCCGCTCTAAATGTTTTAATGGGCACTTGGTAGAAATGATATCATTAGGAAGGATGATGGCGCTTTGATGAGCAGACCCCCTGGTGCCGGTGCCCTATAAAAGATCACGGCGCTCAGAGTGCGTTAATGCGTGTATGTACTAAGCTCTAGACACTATATCTGGACTTAAGTTCTGGGACTCCGGGCCGTTATGCCGACAGGGAATGAAAATAGTGTTGGTCCTGCTTTTCAGCTTCACACCTTCCACTTTTGTGGGGACTTTTTGTTGATCTTGAGAATGTGTTTGTTAGTACTCTGTCCAGAAGAGCAGTGGTAAGGTCAGAGGTTACAATGTTTGGTGACAGGGCATGGCCAACAATCTATGTAGTTGTTCATCTGAGAGGTGTTTGATGAGGAGGTTGAGGTCAAGTTCTTCCACACCAAACTCATCCAAGCATGCCTTCATGTACCCTGCTTGTGCACTGGAGCACAGTAATGTGAGAACAGAAAAGGTTCTTCCTCTCTTCAAATAGAATTATTACCAATGTCTTTGTAAATGAGGGATAAATATTCAAATCAAACATAGAGGTCAAGCACACAACCCCTTATTAGGTAATTAAGAGACTATTGTCTGTCGGTATGTTTCTTGTTGTCTACCATGGATGATATGCATTCCCGTAATTTCTCGAACAACACTCGTGTGTAACTTGCCTCCCCAAAATCACCCCTCAAAAGCTGATTTTCGGCCTCACAGTGCAGAGGTGCAGTGTTCGATTCCGGCTCCTGCCTTCCTGTGTGGAGTTCGCATGTTCTCCCCATGCCTATGTGGGTTTTCTCCGGGTACTCCGGTTTCCTCCCACATTCCAAAAACCTGCATGGCAGGTTTATGGAACACTACACATCAGGGGTAGGGAACTCCGGTTCCTATCGAGCCATATCCTGCCTATTTTAGATCTCTCTCGACTTCAACGCCCTGATTCAAATGATCAGTTCGTTGATCAAGCTCTGGTGTGTTGGAGTAGGGAGGGGATCTAAAACAGGCAGGATATGGCTCTCGAGGAGCCGGAGTTCCCTACCCCTGCTCAAAATTGTCCCTTGGTGTGAGTGATGGTTGTTTGCCTCTGTGTGCCCTGTGATTGGCTGGCAACCAATTCAGGGTGCCCCCTGCCTACTGCCCAAAGATGGCTGGGATAGGGCTCCAGCATGCCCGCGACCCTTGTGAGGGCAGCAAAAAAAAAAAAAAAAAAAGTTATTTTTGAGAAATTATGGTATTTACCCCTAAGTTCAAAATGTAGTAGTAGAGTGTACTTGATTAAACCATGTGCAGCCTGTCAACAAGCGAGTGGTTTATTTTGAATCCTCCGCTTTTGACGCTGTTTTAAATTATTTTATCTATTGCCTCCATAAGGTATTTTACAAACAGTTTTTTTTCAATATTTTTCTCATTCCAATCGTTTTTCCTGTGAAATCTTGAAATCATGTCAACGGGTGCTGTTTGCCTTTATACTTGACTGAGGGTAACCTTTTTCCGCATCATTACAGATACATTCCAATGTTCGACAATATAATGGTGAGGGAGGAAGATTTTTGAAAGACGGCCATGGCTTGAACAGTGTGGATATTTTATGCCATGAAAAGACAGACATAATTGTCAAATGAACATTTCTGTCAGGAAAAAGAATTATATTTTTTGAAAGGCTATAGCAGGAAATATGTTGCTGCTGATGTGTGGAGCTTATAGAGAGGAGCATTATGTAAAACAGTGGACCAGTGCTTAGCAAGCGAAACATTTCAGCTTACTCATGAAAATTAATTTTCAAACACACTATGCACTGATGAATGCCTTCACGTTTCAGCAAGACTTCAAGCCTTTAAACTGGAATATGCAGGTTCCTTCTAGGCTGTGTTTGCCAACCTATTTTGGGCCAAGGCATCCATTTTGCAAAGAAAAAATCTCACGGCCCACCACCGAACAAAATTACTGAAATAATGATGACCGCACTGAATGACCAGCAACGGTTTTGGGTTATTCACTTCTGTAATATATTTTTATGAGGATAACAGTTTTGGAAAATGGATGGGTGTATATAAGGCATATTTCAGGGTATCTGTGTATAAGCCCCCCAAAAATCATATACAGCATAAAATGGTAAAATATCTACTTCACTGAGTGGGCAAGTGTGTTTGTGTGTTCCACACACCTATAGACAATAAATCGGCTCACTGGTGTAATCGTGGGCATTATCTCTTCGCCTCTGAAGCTGTGGGCTCACTGATTATGTTAATGAAGAGGGATTTGCTCAAATTGATACACAAGAGGTATTTCTTTTTGTGTGCTCTTGGGATGGCTCAACCCGAGCCTCGTGGTTCTGCTGCCTGTGAGTTGTGGTTCTCCTTAAACTGCTGAATAATTTATGCTATCTGGTAATAACAGTGCTTACTTACCTGTGCAATCAAATCCAAATGAGATTCAATACAGGAGCTGTATAAAAACTGTTGTGGGTTTCTAATCGCACGGGGGGGGGGCTTTAAATGCCTACCGTTTCTCTCTGCCGCACTCTGTGTTGCCAGTGGTGATTTTCAGCTAATAGCAAGTGCGATGTTACACATATGGCAATTAATAATGTATGACATTTTTGGGGGAATTGGTTTGAAGTTGTGCACTCACAAGAAAAGCAATGAACCTTTTTCAGTAGCCAATAAAAGAATGCAGGAGGGGCTGTGGTGCTGGACATGAAGCCACCAATGGAATGAGGAAGGAATTGTTGCATCTACTTTGCATTAATGGCTGCTGTTACCAATACAGTACAGTATTGACATGGGGGAGGGTCAGCGAGGCCTCCCTATTTTATCTGTCAGCCTTGTTCTCCTCACTCCCAGCTGCTTGTGTCTTATTGAGTGATTGAGATTGCCCTTGGGGGTTTTAGAGAATCGCGATTGGATGCTTTGATGGCATTCTCTCGAGCGGCATACACCCGAGGCAGATCACACCTGAGCCCCCCTTTTCAGAATTGTATTTATTTATTTATTTTGTGGTCACTGCCCTGATACATTCTCACAAAGCCTGATCTTTGAATCTGTTCGAGTAACCCTCTGGGTTCCATACTCGTTGGCCATTTGCATCCACCTTGCTCCCTTTTGTTTTTGTTGTTTTTTTCCTAACCATTTTAGCCATGTAAATGAGAAAATAATTAAATTTCCCAAAGGTAGGGATTGTCTTATTTTGCAATTTTCAGCTTCGTTGGTTTAAATTTGTCATTGACATACTGTTTACATGAAATGGTACCTTTTGACTGAGGTCGTGGCCAGTTCCCACGTGGGGAACTGAAACCCATGAATGCGTATTTTATTATTTATTTTTTTTAATTCCTTGTACGTAATTGACTGCAGTGAATCATAGACTTTGTTCAACACTTTGACTCGATTTTTGTTTTTGTTTTGACCCAGATGATATCATTTATTGATGTTTCATCAATGGAGCAAGTTCCTCGGTGTGATGCAGTTTTGATCTTAAGAAGTAGAGATATACTCTGCTCACCATGGAGAAGAATTACATTAATAATACATTTATTTATTTATTTATTATTTATTTGTCATTTAAAAAGTGCAAGTTCCCTATCAAAAACTTGAAGAACACAAATCTTCAAAAATTGCAGAATATATGAACCTGGTTTATTAAAGG